CCTAATGTGCCGCATTTAAGCTTTCAAGGGTCTTTAGAAAACCACTCCTTTTATGTGCTGGCAGTTTCACTGTGGATTCAAATGAAGTTTTTATGCCGTCAAATCCTGTTATGGATTCTGACAGACCCAAAGGGAAGAAGCAGCTTTGATGTCAAAATGCATTTCAAGGAGCTGATATTCCCCTCCCGCTTTCCTCCCCACCCTTTGCATTGTAAGGATAGTTATAAAAGGGCTGGGACTTTATGGTGGGAATGACACAAAGGGGTTGTGAGTTAGGATGGAGAGAAGATCTAACTTGAAAAGGGTCTTGATCTTCTTAGGGGGCAGCTTATGAATAAGAAGAGAACAAAGAGCTGGTTAGTTCTGTCCTAAAGACCTAAGCTGTCCTTGGGGCAGCTCTTTCAAGCTCAGTTATTTGTTTTTTTTAACTCCCAGTACTTCTGAGCCAGAATCCTGCCCTTAGGAAAGGCTGGGAAATTCTCTTTCCCTTGAAAAATCTGTAACATCCATCACATAACTCCATAAAGCTACGTGGATAGTGAGATGGGCAGGATATAAATTTAATAATACTAACTAGTAACATCCATCACATAACTCCATAAAGCTACGTGGATAGTGAGATGGGCAGGATATAAATTTAATAATACTAACTAACTAACTAACTAACTAACTAACTAACTAACTAACTAATCACTAACATTTGTGGGGTTCTTGGTGTTCTCTGAGCTTGGCTTTTTATTACCAAACTAGGTAACATCTTCAGTGCTAGGGCTAGCTAGTCCATCGTCAGTGTTATGATGTTACCTAGTTGGGTAGTGAAATATCTGCAAGAAAACTGCCAAGCTCAGAGAGCACCAAGGAACCCACAGTGCTCCTCCTCCTTCCCCCTGCTCCTCCAACTCCCCCTACTCTTCCTCACAAATCCCTTTCTCTTCTAGCACTGATGATGTTACCTAGTTGGGTAATGAAACATCTGCAAGAAAACCACCAAGTTCAGAGAGCACCAAGGAACCCACAGTCACCCTCCTCCTCCTTTTCCTTCTCCTCCTTCTCCTTCCCCCTGCTCCTCCTCTTCTTGTCCACAATCCCCACTCTTTCCTAGTACTGATGATGTTACCTAGTTGGGTAATGAAACATCTGCAAGAAAACCACCAAGCTCAGAGAGCACCAAGGACCCCACAGTCCTCCTCCTCCTCAACTGACCATCTCTCTTTAAACCACATCAATGGAGCCCCCACCCCTTACATCTGATGAAATTTAAGTTTATAAAAAAAAATAATACAATTTATTAGTTGGAGAAAATGCTGCCGCACCTCTGCTCTCTGTTCTGCGCTGGGTTTCAGGCTTTTCTCCTGCAGAAGACTTCCAGTCCTTTGGGGGGTTTTTTTTTTTTTGGTCGTATTGCACTCTCTTCCAGTTTCCTCTCGGCTGCCAAAGCTTTTAACAATCTGATAATCCCCACGAATGACTTTGAATAAAAAAAGGTTTTTTGTTTTTTTTTAACGTGGTCTAATTAATCTACAGCATTCCTCGGTGAGGGCCACTGGCTTAGGCAGTTTTAGGAAAGGATTAGTTGAAGCTACAGTGGATAAATTTTATTAGCGGGTCTTAGGGATTGCAGGCTAAAACTGGAAGCGGTTCCATTTATCTAAGTTTAGGTCACGTGATAAGAGGGACCGATAGAGAATGGCAATCCGGTGGAGAATATCGGGGATTCATGCCGGAGAAAGAGAGCTCAAACTGCATTTAGAATGTTTTGGGAAAGTCGGAAAGGCCTCGGGGGAATTATTTAGTCAAAGCGTTTCTCAACCTTGGCAACTTTGAGATGTGTTGAGCTTATCTCCCAGAATTCCTCAGACAGCCATACTTCAGTTGCTGAAGAAGCTTCTTGGATGGTGAATATGATGATGATAATTTTATTGTCACTTTGAATGTACACCAATCAGCATACCTCAAAATGAAATTTTGTTGCATACAGCTCTCAGAGGGCCACCACCTCCGATATAGACTCCTTAATAATAATAATAAAGTTGGAAGGGGTCTTGGAAGTCATCTAGTCCAACCCTCTGCTCAGGCAGGAAACCGTATACCATTTCAGACAAATGGCTGTCTAGTCTCTTCTTAAAAACTTCCAGTGTTGGAGCATTCACAGCTTCTGGAGGCAGGTTGTTCCACTGGTTGATTGTTCTCACTGTCAGGAAGTTTCTCCTTAGTTCTAGGTTGCTTCTCTCCTTGATTAGTTTCCATCATTTCTTGTCTTGCCTTTTGGGGTTTTGGAAAATAGTTTGACCCCCTCATCTTTGTAGGGGCACCTCCAATATTGGAACACGGCTATCATGTCTCCCCTAGTCCTCCTTTTCATTAGACTGGACATACCCAATTCCTGCAACTGTTCTTTGCATATTTTAGCTTCCAGCCCTCTAATCCTTTGTTGCTTTTCTCTGCACTCTTTTCAGAGCCTCAACATTTTTCTTATATTGTGGTAACCAGAACTGGATGCAATATTCCAAGTAGGGTCTTGACCTGGATGATTGAGAATCTCCATAGATGTATGGGGAAGAAAACCAACTTCTTCTAATTGGTACCTCCTTAAATGGCTAGGAAGCCTCCAACAGCAATAAAACAAGCAAGCCAGAGATTGGAAGACAAACCTTGATTGACCCTTGGTTTCAGGACATGCCACTGTGCAACTACGGACAGGCGGTGACGATTTACTGTGCTTAGTCAGCAAATTGTAAATAAAATGCTGTGGTTTGGGTCCCCTTATTATAGGCGCCTGCATTGGGAGAACGCCAGTGGCACAATGCTCATCTTTTTGACAAGATGCCATTTTTTTCTACAAACGTTTGCTGTGTCAGATCGTTCTATCTTTACCCTTCTACCCCCAGCCGAGTCTCTGGAGTCCTTCTGGGATAGCTAAAGCACATAAGGCATCAGCTAAATGAATTTGAAAAAGATGACTGCGCTAATCCATGCAAACAGTGTCGTTAGCAGTTAAGAGCCTCGGTGAGAGGAACATTTAAAATAGGTGCCCACTTAGCGAGAAAACACGTTGGATAACAGTGACCCAATCATCCTGTCGTAACCTCGGGGTTTATCCATAAAGTTAATTGAGGGAAGGGCAAAAAAAAAACAACCCTTGATGTTTTCAATATATATATATATATATTTTTCACAGTCCGAAGTCCTTCCTTGAGTGAGACGGCAGTCTAAGAAACAGGAAACACAATTTCATGTTGACTTACGAGCACAAATTGAGCCCAAGATTTCCGTTGCTAAGCAAGAGACGGTTAAGTGAGTTTTTGCCCCGTTTGACGAGCTTTCTGGCTACAGTTGTTAAGTGAGTCACTGCAGTTGTTAATAACACTGTGTCAATAACATCGGATGTTTTTGCATTGACAAGAGATGGAGATGCAGCCATTTTCTTCTTTTTGCTTTTAGAGTTAGATGATGCTGGGGGGGGGGGAGAAATGTGCATGAGAGTCTAGCTAGACATAATAACACTGAACCTAGCGTGAGAATCAAGGTTGTTGAAAGAAGAGATGATAAAGAATTGGCAGGCTGGAGAGCTGGAGGGGAAGCCTGCGTTTCAAACTAATTGGGGAATGTGATTTATGACTGTTAACTGGAGGAGGGAATTAACTGACAAAATAAAAACATTTATAAATAAATAATAATAATAATAATAAAGTTGGAAGGGACCTTGGAGGTCTTCTAGTCTAACCCCCTGCTCAGGCAGGAAACCCTATACCATTTCGGACAAATGGCTGTCCAGTCTCTTTTTAAAAACTTCCAGTGTTGGAGCATTCACCACTTCTGGAGGAAGGTTGTTCCACTGGTTAATTGTTCTGTCAGGAAATTTCTCCTTAGTTCTAGGTTGCTTTTCTCTTTGATTAGTTTCCATCCGTTGCTTCTTGTCCTGCCCTCAGGCGCTTTGGAAAATTCTGCTTTTGATACTATGTGCTCAGGGGAGGGGAACTCAGTTTTTGGCTTCGACTGTGTTAGTGCTGAAGCTCTGCTACTCCAATAAAGATTCTTTAAGGTAAACAATGCCTCAAAGTTCTTTGAAGAGTTTCCTCTGTCGAAACCATGACACCTGGCTTCCTCGCTGACTTTGCAGGTCACATGGTCACAAAAGGGGATCACATCACACACACACCCAGGACGCTGCAACCGTCATAAGTAGGAACCAGTTGCCAAGCATCAAGTGACCCTGGGGATGCTGCAACTGTTGTAAGTGTGAAAAACAGTCATGGGTCACTTTCTTCAGCGACAGGGTAACTTTGAATGGTCACTAAATAAACCATTGTAAATCGAGGACTATTGGAATCTAAATACTATGTGTTGGACATGGTAATTATGCAGGAACGGAAGAAGAAGAAGGAGAAGGAGGAGGAGGAGGAGGAGAAGAAGAAGAAGAAGAAGGAGAAGAAGAAGAAAAGAAGACGACCACAACAGTTTGAAAGTGGGTTTTTTTCCTTTTTTTGCTTTAATACGTTGACAATTGTCCAGAAAGAAAGAACATACAACAGCTAAAACCTCCAAACACGATCATTATTTATTTTGTTTTTTTAAGGCCACATTTAAAAAAAAATAAAACCGAAACCGATGAAGGACCTTTAAGGCTTCTTTTTAAAAAAAGAGCAATTCATTGGATGCCACAGCATGAATACCGAGTTGGAAATAAGGATTCCCATAGGGAAATCTGTCAACCAACAGCCTAAGTCTCAAAAACTTTCAAAAAAAATAATAAAAAAAAATAAAGCCGATTAACAGGCTTCCGCTGTTCTTAATGGCAACTTACGGATCGATGGAGCACGTATCCAGCATATTCCCAGCAAAATTGAAGCTGCTAGTTTTGACAAGGGACAGAACCTCTATTTTTTTTGTATGTTTTGTTTTTAAAATCCATCAAAGGTGATATATATATTTATATCTATATATATATATATATATTTCCTTAATCACAAACGGAATCAAAGAACGAGCCGTTAGTATTATTTTTTTTATAATATACAAAGGGAGCACAACGAATTGCGCCGGATATGAAAGTGCTCTGTTATCAGAGACGACTGTACAGTATATCTTGCTGTTTATTTGGCAAGGTTTTACAAATCTAATACTTAGAGAAGTTTTTTTTTCCTTTCCCCATCTTCTACTTTTATTTATTACCAAAATAGAGAAAAAGAGAGAGGAGAGAGAGAAAGAGAGAGAGAAAATTTGCATAGATTGTACATTCAACTCAAAAGAGATTTTTTTTTTTAAAACCCCATTTTCCTCCCTTCTGGTTTTCTGTTCCTCAAACAAACGTAATTTTTTTTTTAATTATCAGTGAGGTAGTACCTTTGGTAGCACCCTTGAGCAAAAGAAGACAGACAGACAGACAGACAGAAATGATAAAAACCAGAACATACTGAAATCAGTCGGCATGGGAAATTGGGGGCATGCCTCCCTTTCTAAGACTGTACCACTAAAATGGAAACTACTATCCAAACCATTTGGAGGACTCTAGTAGTTGTCACTCCCCCCCCCCATATTGGCCCCCATTGACAGCAACTACTTTGCTCGCGAGCTTTAGCTACTCAATTGCTTCCAATGGCTGGGTTTTGAAAAAAATAATAATGCTTAATAGATGATGACCTTGAAACAATTATTTCCTATTTCATGTGTCCTGCTGTTATCGGATATTTTCCACTTGGCTAAATCTCAATCCTTTGGCTCCCCTTGTGACTGGGGAATGGCAAGGAGATCAAAAGAGCTTCTGACTCAAGATTTAGATAGGTCAAAACTTGTGCTGGACCAAAGAAACCTTAAGGGACAAATCGCATCCGCCAGTGGGACTCCTGGCTTCTTGACGCAGCCTTCACAAGCCATCTAGGCCAGAGGTGTCCAAACTTGGCAACTTTTAAGACCTGTGAACTTCAACTCCCAGAAGTCCCCAGCCGGCATGAAGTTGAAGTCCACAAGTCTTATAATGGCCAAAGTTGGATATCCCTCGTCTAGGGTTACTGGGTTTGCACAATCGATTCCAAAACCCTGGAAGATAGGAAAGCAGAAAGTCAGTGGGACCAAAACTGGGGCCATCAGATGTGGGTAGATGACCCTTCCCCTCTTCCCTGGTTATTGGCCATGCTAGAACTATAGGTCAATTCTATCTGAAGGTCCGGTTTCCTTTCTCTTTTCCAAAAAAAAAAAAAAAAGCTTGTGTATTTGCAGAGGACAAGCTGTCTTGAGTAGTTGGTGTGTCCTCTGGATATTTAGGTCTGTGACTTCCCAGCTTGACTGAGAAGGCATATCTGGAAGGCACTGACTGGAGTAGAGCAGACCCATATTGTACAGAAGAGTTTCTTAGATTTCAGGTCTGGAAAGGAATGTATGATCCACACCATCTTTCTGGCGCGTAATCTCATGAGGAACCTTGTGCAAGGCAGGTTCTAGATCAGGGGTCTTCAAACTTGGCCCTTTTGATGACTTGTGGACTTCAACTCCCAGAATTCCTCAGCCGGGCATGCTGGCTGAGGAATTCTGGGAGTTGAAGTCCACAAGTCATCAAAGGGCCAAGTTTGAAGACCCCTGTTCCAGATGGTGGTGACATAAGTTGAGCTTCTTCTTCGCTCATGTCTGAAGCAGATCCTTTTCCTGAAAACAGTTCCAATCATATACCCCAACTTCTACACTCTCCAGATAGGTGGGCTTCAGTTCTCAGAATTCTCCAGTCAGCCAGGATTGGTCTAGGACAGGGGTCTTCAAACATGGACCTTTTGGGCACCAGGAACCGGTTCTGTGGAGAGAGGTTTTTCCATGGACCAGAGGGTGTGTGGTTTTGTGTGCTGCCTGCATCCCACAGATGGGGCTTTGTTTGTTTGTGTGGACCGGTTGCTGGCATGCTGCGGTACTGGCCCACGGACTGGGGTTTGGGGACCCCTGTCCTAGGACATGTCTGGGGACAGAGGTGGATGGCTGAATGGACAGATGGGAGATACCACCTGGAAGCTCTTTAGGATAGAGATGCCCCTATGAAGTGATACATTTGGACGGAGGGCTTCTGATGGGATAGTTGTCTTCTCACTTGGAGCCACCTGAACCTTGAATAAAATATCTCCAGTCTTGGCACTCTCCTGAAGGCAAGGAGCATAATTCCTAAAATCTCTGACTGTACAGGTAGGTACTCCTTGACTTACAACTGTAACTAAGCCCCAAATTTCTGTTGCTAGGTGAAACAGTTGTTTTGCCCCATTTTACAACCTGTCTTGCCACCACCGTTACATGAATCACTGCAGTTGTTAAGTTAGAACACAGCTGTTGAGTGAAGCTGGCTTTGCTTGTCAGAAAGTCCCCAAAGGACATCGCAATCATCATCAATGCAGGCCAGTTGGCCAACCTCCAAATTTTGATCCCATGACCACAGGGATGCTACGACGGTCATATGAAAAAAAAAGAACGTCCGTAAGCCACTTTTTTCAGTTACCGTTGTAACTTTGAAAAGGCGCTAAATGGACTGTCGTAAGTCGAGGACTAACTGCAGGCTTGTCATTACAACATTAGGGAGCCTCCCATCTAATTACGGTTGTCAGTATGGGGAGGGGGGGGGCAGAAGCCAAATAAAACCAAAAATCAAGGTAACGGAAAGGAAAGGGGGAAAAAAAAGACAATTTTCTTTCGTTGTAAAGGCCCTCCCTTAATAAAGGCAGCGTTAGTTAGCAAGGAGCTGAGTAAGCAGTGCCCTAACGGTTAGTCCTCGACTAAAAACACAAATAAATACGTAACATCATTGTCTACTTTCCTTTGTGCCAGTTAAATATTTAATGCTCTGCCTTTACGCCAGCACAGCTGACACTCTCAATTTCAAAAGTCCAAAGCAAACTCTCGTAGCTTTAAACCAAGGGGGGGGGGAAACGGGGACACGGAGAGGCAGGAATTCACGAGTCAGTCTTCCCAATTTCAGGTTGGACTCCACAGGGCTCACTTTAAAAGGGAAAACCAGACTTATGTTGTTTTTGTTGTTGCTCCTGGTTATCTTTCCAGCCCTTCTGCTCTTCTCGTGGTCTTTAAATGCGAGCTGGATGTGAAAATAAGGGAAGGGCCAAAAAAGGAGAAAGCCAGCTTTTTCTTAAAATGATAAGATTGGATTCCAGAATCAGGGGATATATCGGTGGGTATACGAACTGAAGATCCAAAGTAACAGAATAAAAAGAGTTGGAAGGGACCTGGGAGGTCTTATAGTCCAGTCCCTTGCTCAAGTATTGGTGTCTCTGCGCAGAAACCTCTGTCCTTCTGTTGTCTGAGTGCAATTTAGGCTAAAATCATTAAATACAGGTCATTTAATTAGGAATAAAATTTGGCTTTTTTTGCACCTTTGGCCTTAAAATCTCACAGCTTCCAAAACTAAAACAGGACTCAGAGGCTGCAAAGAGTTAAAAAAATAAAACAAAATACAAAACTGGATTAAAATGGATGCTCCTCCTTCGTCTTGTTAATAGGAGAAGTCTTAAAAACGCCTTTTCCATTTTTCTCCGTTAAATGGAATGCTATGTAAGAGCAGAAGGCAGTTACTCCCTGCTGTCAGTTTTCCCATCTGAACTTTTTAAAAAGCACTTTCTCCTTTCTTTATGGGGCACTGCATAATAGATCAAGACTAAGCACTAGTGTTTGTGTGGGTATGTGAGTCTGTATGTGCCAAAGAGATGTTTCTCTCCAGCCTGATCATATGACTCGTTCTTCCAGTGCACTGCAGAATGAAGTTGGGTTGGGCTTGTGCCATCTCATCTAGTTTTCCTTTGGCTATGTTCACACAACAGAATTAAACCTGCTTCTTGAATCAATCCCTTTCTAGCTGTTGGCAAAAGATGGAACCACAAGCTAACAAAACAGGTTGGATACCCACCACCGCTAAGCCAATATTAGCCAAGTTGAAAGCCCACAAGCTTAGCAAGTTATGAATTGGAATTACTTCATCTAACCTGGTTAAGGATGTTGAACCCAGCTCTTTGAGCATAGCCCATGAATAATGATGATTAGAACGGAGGGGATAGTTATCTGTTGCTGTCTGAGCCACCCCCTTCCCCCTCAAATAGAAGGCAATACTGAGATTTCGGTTGCAACAGTCTAGTGACTAGACAATCTAGTGGTGTCTAGTCTAATATATACACTAGACACACAAAAATCCCTAGACAAAGGGATTTTTTTTGAGGGATTTCTGTAAAACTACTTTCCAGCCTGATCTGGGGATGTGCAAAATTCAACACAGGAGTTTTTATATCCTCAAGTGACTTTGTCCTTTGAGCTGACTCCCTAGCTAGCCCTGTTTGGAAAACAGACCATCTTGGATAGTAATCAGGAGCAGGGGGGTCTCGAAACGTGGCCATTTTAAGACTTGTGGACTACAACTCCCAGAATTCCTCAACCAGCTGAGGAATTCTAGGAGTTGAAGTCCACAATCTTAAAGTTGCAAAGGTTGGAGACCCACACACACACACGCACACACCCCGGTCTAGCGAAGAGAAGTCTTGAGTGATCATTAGCTCTTCTGGAGGACCAAACCCCGAATCTCTGTAAGCATGAGAGAGTGACGTTAAGACCACATATCTGTTGATTGAGTACAATCACCTTGCAGGCTTGGCTAGCTGGAGTAATGATGTCAATGCTTGTGGGAGATGTCAAAGGGGATGGTTTGAAAAATGAGGACCGCTGGGGGGTGGAAAAAAGAGCAATTTTCACATTTGTGACTGAGCAGCTCTGCTTTCAGGAAACTCTGAAAAAAAAACCCATGTCTGGGATAGAACACGTTGGAGACTTTTTGGAGAAGTAACTTCGTTCTGATCGGAGATGAAAGTATGCTGCCCCTGCCTTTAGAAACACCAGCTGTTTCCTACAACGGGTTTCTCCTTTCCTGCCTCTTCCCCGACTTCCACAATCCTTGAGATGGGAAAACTGGTCCGTAAAAAGGAGGCTGGGATTTTCAGCCTCGTCTTGAACATGGATTCGTAGGTTTTCCTAAAGACCCTTCCATCAGTGCGCCTGCCCCTTGTACCAACCCCCTCTGAAGAGTACCACGAGAGCCGAATGCTCACATTCCCTTGGAAAGCCAGCGGAAGGGGCACCAGGTGCTACCTCAAGCGTCCATCCGGTCTCACGGGGCCCAGTTCGGACTTTGGGTCCGGGCTGAGGGAACTCCAGGAGGTCTGGCTGCAAGCCTGCACGACAGGACAGGAGGTTGGGCCTGTAGTGCAGACGTCAACCGCTGACCACGTGCTTCCCACCAAACTGTCCACCCAGCTCTCCAGCTTGCTGCCAGTCAACAGGGCATTCTTTTTCAACTGCTCCACCTGGCCAGCGCTGACTGGGATGTTTAGCACAGGGTTGAGCCCTTGGAAGCTCTGCTCCATGTAGGAGTTCTTCGGAGGTCCACTGTGCAGCTTGGCGGCTTCTTCTATAAAGGCAAGAGAGAAATATTTTGGTTAAAAAAAAAATCTAGCTACAGAATAACGAAGCTAAGGAGTCAAACCAGGTTAGTTCTTGGGTTCATCTCTTGCTGCTGAGAGAGATTTTGATTTAAGACAGGGCTCTCCAAATTTGGGAACTTTAAGGCTCGTGCACTTCAAGTGCCAGCGATGAATTCTGGGAGTTGAAGTCCACAGGTCTTAAAGCTGCCACCTTTGGAGAGCCCTGATTTAAGACATAGAGATCATCTCTAGAAGCAAATTCGCAGAAGGTTCCACCTTTGCTTTGAAAGCCAGGCTATCATCTAGAGAGGGTTGCAGGCCAGGAATGACATCATGGCTTGTCTACAATTCATGCCAGGTTGCTTTGTCCCTCTAATAGCCAGCTCCAATTTTCAGGAAAGTCAACATTTCTGCAATCCGCTGCAACTTGCACAGTCTCGTCTTGCCCAGACTGTGTGAGCTCTTCATTTCGAGCCATCTAACTAAAGCTTGATTAAAGTTTCAAACACGGAGCACCCCAATTATTTCAAGGTCATCATCTATTAAATATGTGCTGGGGGGGGTTTGCTTCCCCCACCGCTAATGACCGCTTCTGGGATATAATTTGTCAAATCCTGCCTTGCATGCAATTTCCTGTAAATTTTAACTTTGGCATGTAACTCGTCCCTAAGCTTGGGTGGAAGTCCCAAGCCACAAGCTGAGCTGAAGACATGGAGGCAAATAGTTGCTGTCCGCTGAGCTTTTCTGAGCAGCCAAACCCGCTGCATTCATTCCCAAAAAAGGAGCCTGCCGAGAGAAGATCACAAGGGGATCTGCAGGGGGCAGTCGAAAAAGTCAAGATGCGTGACCCACATCGCAAAGGAGCAGAACTTCAAACCCACCACCACAGCTACTTTCTTAACCTTTGGATCACACCCCGCAGACACAACAGGAAGGGCAAAACGGAGAGTTACTTTCTTCTCAGCCGAAGCTAAAACAACCCAGTCCTTTTAAAGATGTGCAGTTATTACAGGGGAAAAAAAGAGATCTTCCTTTCTGGAAAGTATATTAAAGGTAAAGGTTTCCCTTTTCCAGTTGTGTCTTGACTCTTAAGGCACAGTGCTCATCTCCATCTACCAGCTTGCCCACCAGCTCCAAAGCTGTTCCGTGGCTGGTTTTATCCACCCCGCTCAGCTATCATGTGGTCGGTTTGGGGTATAGTTAAGAGCAGTCGGGAACCCAGCCAGGGTGCTTTGTAAACCTCGATTGACAGGCTTAGCAACTGACTGGGGCCAAAGTCATCTCAGGGGTGATCTGCCCAGGAAGCGAGCGCTGTCGTTGAAAGGGTGGGACAGTTGTCTTCATAAGGGAGATTTAGAGATGGCCAAATTGGAAGACCAACAGCGTGAAATATCCTTGTCAGAATAACAAAGTTGGGAGGGAACTTGGAGGTCTTCTAGTCCAACCCCCCCTATACGATTCCAGACAAGTGATTGTCCAATCTCTTCTTGGAATCCCTCCAATTGATGGGAGCACCCACAACTTCTGGAGGCAAGTTGTTCCACTGTTCCTGACAGTCCCAATTGGCTGTAAGTCAAGGACTACCTATAAAGCTTTGCTTCATTGTTGTGACATGACCTCTCTGGAGATAAATAAAATAAACTTCTGTGACTATTATTCAAGTCCTTGATATCAACAGGAAAGCTGAAAAAAAACCCTCTGCCTTTCCAGTTGAGACAAAGTCAACTGAACTTCTTCTGCAGTGGGTTCAATATTCTGATTTTGCTCCAAGTGGTTTCATTTGCTTTCTAATTTTTTTTTTTGGGGGGGGGGGAAATGCTTACCTTGTCGGATGGCTTGCTTGTTCAAAAATGTCAGAGGAGAGACCAAGAATTTGGTTTCTGCCACAGGGACCCAATGATGTAGGATTTTAACCGTCCAGACTCCAGGCCGGAGGGGTAAATTCAGAGGCGGTTTATAATGTGTGAACTCAGCATTGGAGTCGATCAGGATATCGTAGGTGGCAGCGATGACGTTGATGGGGTCCACCCAGATCACTGTCACAGTGACGTTGGGACCTTTCGCCCACTTCTGCATGCCCACCGGCTCATCCGTTGGGGAAATAAGACCTCCAAAATTGCGGAATATCCTCTCTTTCGCATCCCAATCTGTTCCAACCTAAAAGAACAGGAAGTGATTGTCAAGAGTGAACGTTTGGCAGCTTTTCATCTTGCCATTACAGTAAAGTGTTTGTGTGTGTGTGGTGGGGGGAAATGATGCTTTTGACTGGGTTAGTTAGAGAAATTAAACGTTTCCAGTTCTTCGCAAGTTTGCTGAGAGAAGATTGTCTGGAAACCTTTCAAGGACATTCTAGCAGGTGTGAAGAAGATAGCAGATAGCTCTCATAACAAAGAGAATTTGTTCACATGAGATAGGTAGACATCTGGGGGGTTGACCTGGGAATGTCATTGTTGTATGCTACAGTTAGATGCCTTGGGATTTTAAAGTTAGCTTTCCTTCGCTTATATTATGCCATGTATTCAATAAACCAGCAAGTTTTTCAGAAATGAAAGTAATCCTGGATTTTTATTTGGCTATTTGAGATGAAAGGTTGACCTCAAACTCTCAGCCACTGAAAATCTGTGATATTATCTCTATTGTTAAGGAAGAGGTTGCACATCTGGCATATCTTTTGAGAAACATTCAGCCTTCATTGATACCTCCAGAACGATAAATGGCTGGGGAATTCTGGGTGTTGAAGTCCACTCATTTTCCAGGCAGGTGTCCAGGTTGAGAAACCCTGCATTAGAGTGTAGCATATTGGCTCGATTTGAAAATACCGTGATGGCGATGATGTTGTTGTTGTTGTCATGGACACTTTCACAAAAATAGCCCTAGAAGAAACTTACAATGTGGAGTCCTCGGTGCTCTCTGAGCTTGGTTGTTTTCTTACAGACATTTCATGATTGAACTCGGAAACCTCATCGAGTGCTAGAAGGGAGACAGAGGACAAACCCCATTCCCTTCTACTACTGATGACGTTACCAAGTTGGGTAATGAAATGTCTGCAAAACAAAACAAAACAAACATAAAAAACAGCCAAGCTCAGAGAGCACCAAGGACCCCTCATTTCAATCCTACATATATGGCGATGATGTTGTTGTTGTTGTCATGGACACTTTCACAAAAATAGCCCTAGAAGAAACTTACAATGTGGAGTTCTCGGTGCTCTCTGAGCTTGGTTGTTTTCTTACATATATTTTTTTGTTTTCTACATATATTTCCCTTTATTGGAAACTTACCATGTGCCAGATGTTTGCTGGGAAGGCCAATTATTCTGGTTCTTGGTTGATTAGATATCCAACTTCAACAATAATAGTGGTTCCACACACCAAACAAGGGCTCATTCCCCAACTGGTTGTTAGAAAAATTCAAGGCAACACGCAGAGAAATACCTATTTTCTCTACAATAACAACTATGGGAGATTGTTGGGTTGTTCCAAAGTCACCCAGGTAGAGCCCATAAGGGACTCTAGAACCCATTCCTAGACCCATAACTTCACAGCAACGTAGCACTAGTCTAAATAACACATCAATAAATGGTTTATTTATAAGAGGCAGATGACATACTATTTTAAAAAAGAGCAAACTCTACCCAAATTCATTAAAAGTTGACCAGGGCTAACTATTGATCTGATTTAATCAACATGCATTAGGTGACTTCACCTCTCCTGAATATAAAAGCAAGTGATATTTAAATATCGAACTTTCTAATACCAACTCAAGATTAATAATGCTGTTTCTTCTGGCCTTTTACAATTATTCCAGGAAGAAGCCAAACACTTTAAAAAAAAAAAAGCTTCAATATACAATTTCAGCCCTTTAAAGCATAATTCCAGAGGGAAAAGGACAAATTTACTAACGCAAGAACTTTCAAGATTGCGTTAAGCGAAATGTTTCATTAAAGATTATGGCTGTTCCTTGAGTTTTTAAAAGATTGCCTTCAGCTTTTGGACCAATGCTTTTTCTTATTTGCAATGTATGAATAATTTCCAGGCCGATATACACCCTAACAATGCCATTTTAATTAATTAGCATCAAGCATTAGATGTTTCTTCTAATGAAGTAGACACTTGAATATGTTTCTACGTTTCAACTAGCAAATATTAATCAGACAGAAGAAAAAGAACAGGATTTCTTTTAAAGTGAAGGAGAGAGGTGAAATAATATTAACTAGCAATCCAAAAGTAATATCTGGACACAGGTCAAAAAAATCAAGATGGCTGGTGAGGAGAAGGGGAGGGGAAGAGAGTAGGAAGGGAGGAGAGAAAGAGGAGGGAAGTAGGGAAGGTATTAGAGAGGGTGGACGCAGCCTGGGGGGAATGGGCAAGCGGTACCAATGGTTAGGAATTTATTTTATCTTATAAATTGTATTCTGTATGTTGAATAAATGGAAAAATAAAAACTTTATTTTTTTTAAATCAAGATAGCTGCAAGGGCCACATGATTAAAGCCCTACCATTGCATGATATGGACACCACCTTGCATGTACCTGTGTACATTCCTGAATCCTAATCACTGTTAATCCTAGATCCTAGAATTAGATCCATGGAATAGAACCCATCCATTTGGACTCTACAGCCATCCTGCTGGAGAAATCCTGAATCCTAGATGTACAGGCTGGGGAATTCTGGCAGTTGAAATACACGTATCTTACTGTCCTAGATTATTAGATTATTCTAATACATGGTTTCCCAACCTTGGCTATTTAAATATTTGTGGACTTCAATTCCCAGAATTCCCCAGCAAAGCCATGTGTCTCGAAGTCCACGTGTCTTAAAGCTGTCAAGACTGGGAAACCCTGTTCTAAGATCAATTTAATGCAACATATGAATTATTTTTTTTAATTTAATATTAATATGAATCTACGATGAGCCCTTTGGGTCATCTGTAGGGAAAAGTGTGTAGAGAATGTGTAATCACAGAATGATGAATATCTGATTAAAGCCAAAACTTTGAAACTTTTCCAAAACTTAGGGATATATATATTCTCAAATCCACCAACTCTCACAATCCTGAAACTTTACTTAGTTGTGTCTTCAGAGCAAAGGATAGCTTCATTTTAAACCTAGAAAACTTTCTCCTACCCAGTTGTGAGCTTTCTAATTGCAGGGAGTTATTTCTGGCTGGGGAGGCTAATTTTATATCAAACGTTTTGGAATACGAAGGTCCCTATAATCTTAGGAGGTTATTTTTCCTGCCCCTTCCTGCTCTCTCTTCTTTCGACGAGAGAAAAGTGCAAAAATGCAACCACCTTTGTGCAAAAGACACAAAGGGCCACTTGCAGACAGGGCACAAAAAAGCCTTCAGCGGGATGCTCAACCACAAGTTGCAACCTATCATCTCCATGACCAACACAAATTGCCATTTAGCAAACGTTCAAAGAATATCAGATCTGAAGAACAAGGGTGTCTATCCTACCTCGCTGACCTCAAAACCCCAATGCCTTGGATGACATGGGCCACCACAGCCAAGGAGAGATGGCTACCAATTTAGATAGTTTTTTTAAAAAAAAAAAAAAGAGAGAGAGAGATAAATTCAGAGGACCAGGAACTCAGTGCCTACTCATCTTGATACTATTTTCTGCCTCCTAATCCACAGGGCAACGTATTTTAACTATCTTGTTTGTACTTGGGAATTTTTCAGATTCTTCCTGCTGCTCATTCTGGGAAACGGTTTAGGCTTTGGACGGGAGGATGATTTAATACAAGCAAAAGGAATGTTCTTATTCTACTACGGTGGTTCTCTAGTATCATTATTACGTGTCAAAATTAATTGCCGGGTTGAGAAGGATCTGTCTCAACTGCAGGCAGCAGCTGCCTGACCTTGGCTGATCTTGGAAAAACTAAGCGGAGACAGGGCTGGTTAGTACTTGGCTGGGAGATATTGAATGGCGGCACCTTAGACTGAGAAATTGAGAATATATCTTGGACGAAAACTGTAGCAAAGAATTTTCATAGTGATACCAAAAAAACAGCAAAGGGGTATCCAGGAATTTCATCAGGACTTGAGACTTCAAGGAGACTCTGAAAAGGGACTGAATCAGAAATAGTTGGAAGAGACCTTGGAGGTCTTCTAGTCCAGCCCTCTGCTCCAGCAGGAGATCCTATACCATTCCAGACAAGTGGCTGTCCAGTCTCTTCTTAAAACCCTCCAGTGATGGAGCACCCACAACTTATGAAGGCAAGCCGTTCCACTGCTTAATGGTTCTGACTGTCAGGAAATTTCTCCTTAGTTCTAGGTTGCTTCTCTCCTTGACTAGTTTTTATCCATTGCTTCTTGTCCTGCCTTCAGGTGTTTTGGAAAATAGCTTGACTCCCTCTTCTTTGTGGCAACCCCTGAGATATTGGAAGACTGCTATCATGTCCCCCCTTGTCCTTCTCTTCATTAAAATAGACATACCCAATTCTTGCAACTGTTCTTCAGTTAGGTTATCAGCGACTCTTAGTCTTAATGTCTGTTTACTACATCTTAAACTGACCCTTAAATACCAGCTGTTGGGAAGAACAATGGAAGAAGCTTTCAGCTACAGGTCCATCTTATGAGTCTTTGGCATTCTGGTGAGTGGTTTAAAGAGACCAGGTTAGTCATTGACTGGGTAATATGCCCCAAACCAGGATAATTGGCCTCTCCAGCAACCATTAGCAAACAATAAGTCTCTTCTGAGACCATTGTTGTGAGAGTATCCATATCATCATCATCATCATCATCGCCGTATTTTCAAGTCAACCCAACATGCTACACCCTACTGCAGTTTTTCTCAGCCTGGACACCGGAAGATAGGTGGACTTTTTAATGTCCTTTGCCCCAGGTGGAAGAAATCAATAACCCATAAGATGTGAATCTAAGAATGCACAAGGAGCTGGTTTTTTAAAACCGATTTCCAAAGTCAATCCAGATTTCACCCAATCCAGACATGAAACAAAAGCTTAACAGATTGATGGATTGCTCTTTTCAACCCCATTTGAAAAAAAAGGCATCCCAATGACTCAACTTAGCAGCTGTTATTTTGAGAGAAAAGAAAAACCCATACATGTTGAAATGTGTATTTTGGGACCGACTGTGATTAGAAATGTACATATTTTTGTGGGTGTGGATAAATGAAAGAACAAATGAGATAGACTAGCCTCATGAGGGATATGTGATCTTTCATTAAATTACAAGTAACTGGGAAATTGGAATTTCGAGTATATGGAATGAAGCTGTTCTGCAAGACACACACATAAATACTGTACAAATTTACAAAATGTTCTCTTTCTAGGTGCCTCCAACACTGCTCTGTGCACTGGGGTTCCTAGTCACTAAACTAGCTAGCTTTAAAAAGGAAGGCTGTATTTTGTTCATCACAACCATGCAAAATTCAACAGGGATATACAGTAGCTCTCTCACACACATGGCTACTTGTCAATGTGTACTGTGTATGTTGCTCTGTTTCGAATCAATAGGAATGCAAAGCAAGTTGGTTTTGATTGATTTTATAATTGTTTGTTGCCCAGAGTCACTTGTTGCAGGTGGACAGCCATATGAATTGAATAACAGATTAAATAACTAGCTAGCTAGACTTGGCAGCATGTGTGTGTATATGTGTGTTTGTGTATACACACACACACACATACACACATATTGTATATGTGTGTATATATACATATGTATGTATATATAACACACACATACACACACATCCATTGTGCCTATGACTAGGCACTTCAACTAGGAATTCAAACTATCTTCACTTCCAAGAATGTAGATGAGCAATGTATACCTCCAAGAACTGTAGCCTTCCAAAATCACTTGGGGGGCTTGCAATCTTGAACACCTTCTTAGGTATAACCCACGTTTCTAAGGTCTCCAGTTTACTGGCAGCCAAATTGGTCGTGTGATGTTTGATGAGGAAGCCCTGAAAATGATCAGCGAGAAAGTAGAGATGGACTGATACTGGATGCCCCACTGGATAGTATCTGGGGAAAAAACAAGGGATTGACATTCATTAAAACCATAATTGAAAAACAGAGGATCAGCTGCAGAAAGAACTTTTAGGATCAGAAAAAGCAAAATTCCTGGGCTAACTTTCTTTGGGTTTAATGCAAGATAGAGATACGGAGGACACAGAGGATTGATAGAGAGATGAAGGACCAATAGAAGACCAGATGTTTGGTGAACAAGCAAAGTCAAGAATATCACAGACGGTCATTAAATTTCAGGGAATTTCTCCTCTCTTCTTTTCAAAAGTCATTCTCTTTCATTTCTCTGCCTAAGGATTGGGAGAGGAAACAAGTCCTCCGGCTGAATTTTTCTACCCAGCCCTAGCAAAAACCGTTCCCAATAAGTGATTATGGAAATTGGTATATCACATACTCCTACAGATTGGACTTTAATGGAGAGAAAAGTCAATGAAGCAAAAAACTCTACACTTGACACAAAACGGAGAAGAAAATATGGACAGCTCATTTTCTATCCCTAGCATCTTGGACCATCTTCTAGAACATGTAATAACCTGGCCTTCAAGAGTTGGTGGTGGGGGGGTCATGCTTGTTCTGTCCCAGCCTACGTCCGTCCTTGTTATATCACAAGAACAAACGCCTCTTAAACAGTAGGCTGGGAAAACCAACCTCTTTTTATTTCCAAAACAGTCCTGATAGGTTTTTTTTCAAAACAAAAAAACACAGAATACGTTCCTAACAGATAATTGGTTACAAAAGCAAACAGAGCAGAAGTTTAAACAAGAAATTCACTGATAAAACAAAACAGACCATGATCCTTGGAAGTTCTTTACAAATGGTTGCCTTCCAGCAACCAGCACCGCCCACACCTTCCCTTTTTATAAAGCAGTCCCAAGGCGTGGCTTCTCAATGCTTTCTCCTCCTCCCCTGGAGTTGTCATATTGACTGCTGCTGATCTGCTCTAGCTAATTGCCTGCATCTATGAGCATCAATCATGTCCATCAAGTGTGAATCCTCCAAGTCTGACTCATTCTCCCCACACAGCTGAGCTTCATCAGGAACACGACTGGAGGGCCCAGGCTCTTCATCAAACCGTGAGTCTTGTAATTTATCAGAGCCTCCCTCTGACCCTGATGGCCCTCCAAATGCCTCCTCCACCTCTTCAGATTCCCCGGACTCAGCTGTTGGGAACATAGGCTGGCACGGAATCACGACAATGCTTAGGATGGGACCAATGGGCAATACTTGAAGGAAGATGTTAGGACTTGTAGTTCACCAACATCTAGAGATCCCAGCTTCTCAACACTATCTAAACAGGGACGCAACCCTTAGTTGGTGTGGCGATTTGGAACTGCAGGAAAAGGAAAGGAAGAATTGTTAGATCTTACCGGCAACTGTTTTTGCCATCCATATGGAAGGACGTTTCTGCTTTCTTCAGGCCCAAACGGGAAAAAGAGTGGTAGAGAGTCAATGCAACATCACTAATGCTGTGGATCCCATCTGGTTCATCGTACACATTCTCCCAGTAGGAGCGAAGACCCGGTGTACCAGAAGGATAGTTACCATAGAGGTAATAATCCAACTGAGAGATGACTTCTTGATTGACGACCGCCTCAAACTTGCGTGCAAAGAAGGTCGGTCTTGCCGTTTGCTGTGGGGAGGAACAGGTTTCAGAAAGAAAAATTAGATCGGAGTTCTTGAATTCAAGGCTTTGATTTCAGAGTGCAAATCCTTCGCTGTTGGCCAAGCTGGCCTGGGAGCTGATGGGAGTCTAAAACCCCAAACATCTGGAAAACATCAAGTTGCTTAATCCTGAGCTGTTTCTTCCATGCTAGCAAATCAAGTTCTTGAAAATACTTCAGAGCTGGTCTGTTATATGGAAAGTTCGTCTCTTCCCAAAGAAATTTATTGATTCTCCCCAACACTGGATTTCAAATAGACCTTGGAAAAAAATGACTCCTGTTTAATGAGATACTGTTTTCTGGGTTGTTTGGGAATTGATTCACATTATCATATTTTAACGTCTTTCTCCTATATTTTAGTTTTAAGCATCATTAAGACTGTCCTTCAATGTACCAGACGTATTGATTCATTTATTTATATTTATATATTTTATCTCTTGAGACCTCATGGAAATACATATAAGGATCTTCCAAGCATAATAACCCTGTGAGGATCTTTGGGCTAAGCAACAGCGTTAAGTCACTCAATGCTTCTACAGCTGAGGATGGATTTGAAATCTGGTCTCAGGACAAGGTCTGTCATTTCACCCAAGTAGATATAATACAATTGAAATGTCAGCATCAAACTACCAGAATGAATTTCCTTTATTCTTTTCATTTTCATTTTCAATTTAAATTTCATTCAGTTTTCATTTTGATGAAAACCTTTTTAATAAAAAGTATATATTTGGGGATGATTGATGGGAGGGAAGGAAGGAAGGGAGAAGGAGAGAGAAAAAGTGGATGGATGGAAGGAAGAAAGGAGAGGAGAAAGAAAGGGAGAAGGGGGATGGACAGAAGGAAGAAGAGAGAAGGAAGGGCAGAAGAAAGGGGAGAAGAGTGACTGACAGGAGGGAAGGAGAGAAGGAAGGAAGGAAGGAAGGAAGGAAGGAAGGAAGGAAGACAGATCTGCCCTTATAGTCCTGTGAAGGAGGAACTCACCTGGAACCGGTGAAAATCAGATGGCTTAAAATCATTGGGGGAACAGCCACACCAATCCACAATATTCTTGTACTGACATTTGCACCCCAGCTTTCTGTTCCAGTTTGTGATACGCAGGTTGTTGTCCACCATGGAGTCACAATGAAGACTGTTTTCCAAGACGGTGTGGAAAAAAGACTGCGGGAAAAAACAACAACCCAGAGAGTTTAGACAGTAAATTCTATAGGGAATTGAAAGATTCATTTAACAATCATGCTTCTAACTTAACAGCTGCAGCGGTTCACTGAACTGTAGTGAGAAAGGTCATAAAATAGGGCAAAACTCTTAACAACTAACTGTCTTGTTTAGCAACAGAAAGTTGGGGCTCAATTGTGATTGTAAATAAATAAATAAATTATTATTATTATTATTATTATTATTATTATTATTATTATTATTATTATTATTATTATTATTATTATTATTATAGCAAACAGACAAGCACCTGCAACATAACACCCCAGACTTAACAATTGTCGATAAGAAAGACAAAAAAGTCTGGATAGTGGACGTGGCAGTGCCTGGAGACAGCAGAATAGAAGAGAAAGAACTGGAGAAGATAACAAACTACAAAGACCTACAAATAGAAATAGAAAGACTAAGGCAAAGGCAAGCAAGGGTGGTACCAATAGTAATAGAGGCCTTGGGTGCAATTCCCAAAAAACAACTGGAGCACCTCTTGAACACCATTGGCATTGACAAATTCGCCATTAGTCAATTGCAAAAGGCAGCCTTACTAGGAACTGCTTCCATCCTGCGATGATATCTGTAATACCATCAAACATCCACATCTGCCTATCCCAGGTCCTGGGTAAGGACTCGATAGGTAGACAAAAATGCCAACTCCAGTCTGAACATCTGGGTGACTATGCGATGATCAATAATAATAGTAATAGTAATAATAATAATTTTGAATGTTCAGTTGACTGAGGTTCATGTCCAATGAATAATAATAAAGTTGGAAGGGACCTTGGAGGTCATCTAGTCCAACCCCCTGCTCAGGCAGGAAACCCTACACCATTTCAGACCCTATACCATTTCAACTCAAGGACTACCTGTAACTGTGCAGGGAAGATGAGTAGCAAAGCTTAGACGGAGTTTTTCAAACTTGTTTGGGTTTTAAAAACATTTGACTTCTCCTCAAGGACTTTGTCCACTCCCCCTGCCCCCACTTATCCTCGCCTGGAGATCCCTGACTTTAAGTTTGAGGACATCTATCAGGCTTTCAAACTGATGCAATGCATTTGAAAAAGAACTAACTCTTGGGGGAGAAACTATGACAAGATGAACACCCAAATATTGAACCGAACTGTGGAATCCCTATATTAAAAATAGAAAAATAAAACAAAATATTCCACTCTAGCTCAGGAGCGTTACAGCAGCAATGAACCCTGAAGTTTGAAATACGCTTTGGGATCTTGACGCTAAAATGGAGAAGGGATGCGCCTTTGAGTGCTTTGCTCCTTTCCTCTCCCCTCGGCTACCCTCAAGGTTTGCTTCTGTGGATTAAGTTTCCCCAAGCCTTGCTGCAGGCCAGACTAGTCTGCTAGCACCATCCTTTTCAAGGAATATTCTAAAAACAAACCAACACCCGATTAAAAAAACACCCCCGAACTGCAAAATAAAACAAAAGCAAAACATCGACTAACACCGTGGCTGCTTTCCTTGGAAGCGCTAATATGTTTATAATGATCTCATGCTGAATTATGCCACTCACCCCCCCCCCCACTTCTTCCCAAGGACAAACTGTCTCCTGCAATTATTTCCAAAACGCTTACGCCATTCTTTGCTGTTGGGAGGCAGGAACTCTGATCTGGAAGGGAAGCTGTTTTCTTTTTCTCTTCCTTTCCTTTCCTTTTTTTTTTAATTAGATCACTGCAAATTTCAACGTTTTGGAAGTCCCGGGCAGTCAGGCTGCCCCACAGATAGGGTACGGTGGCCTTTGCACGTTGGGGAGTAGAAGGAGGAAGAGGAGAAGGAGGAAGAGGAGAAGGAGGAGAAAGAAGAGACGAAGAAGAACCACCTGCCTCCAGAAGTGGTGAACGCTCCAACATTGGAAGTTTTAAAGAAGAGACTGGATAGCCATTTGTCTGAAATGGTATAGGGTTTCCTGCCTGAGCAGAGGGTTGGACTAGAAGATCTCCAGGGTCCCTTCCAACTACTACTACTACTACTACTACTACTACTACTACTACTACTACTACTTCGTCTTCTTCTTCTTATTATTATTATTATTATTACTACTATTATTATTATAAGAAGAAGAAAAAGAGGAGGAGAAGGAAGAGAGGAAAAAGTGGAGAAAGAAGAGAAAGAGAAAGAAGAGAAGGAGGAAGAAACACATCTGCACACACTTTCCCAAAGACAAAAGGGTCCATGGATTGTCAAAACAATAACGGATAATAAATCAGAGGTCCTTTGTGCTCCTTAGGCTTTCTTGCAGACGTTTCATGACCCAAACTAGGTAACATCATCAGTAGTAGCTGACGATTCTACCTAGTTGGGTCATGAAACGTCTGCAAGAAAACCACCAAGCTCAGACAGCACCAAGGACCCCACAGTTCTCCTCCTCCTCCTTCTCTCCTTCCTCCTCTTTGCAAACCCTACTCCCTTCTAGCACTGATGAGGCCACTCAGTTTGGTAATGAAACGTCTGCAAGAAAACCACCAAGCTCAGAGAGCACCAAGGACCCTACAGTTCAACCCTGAGCTGGAAATATATTTTTTTTTCTACTGACTGTCAATACTATCACGTTTACAGTATGTTTACAACTTGTAAACAAAAGATCGGACAGCTTCAAAGAAGACTATGGCCACAGTATCGGAAGACGTGATTCAGGGCATGGATTCTTGCTGATGGCATTCTTGTTGAGAGGCTGACTCACCTCAGCAGGGAGCAGAGTAAAGGAATAGAAGCGTTTCATCTTGGTCACCAGGTCGTCAGTTGAAAACGTGATGTATTCGACAAACTTCCTGTTCATCAGGAACCAATCGGAACCGCCATCCACAGTGATTCCTTCTGGAATTTTCCGGTCCCCAAGTCTCCACATGTGGGTATCACATTCCAGGAACAACCTATCCAGGCCTTGTTTTCTAATAAATCTGGACAACAGAAGAAGAAAAGCAAAGAAAGAAACAGAAAGAAACGTGTGAAATAAGATAAACAGGGATAAAACCATCATACCAGGGTCAACCAAAAACATTTTGCTTCCTTGAACGAACAAGATGGTGCCCTTCCTGTTTCTTTATTTTAAAAAAAAATTCTCAGCTCCAAATGGTGCCAATCCCCTGAGCAGTAGAATTTTGTTCTTGACTAGAGAATTATGGACCCACTTGAGAGTTATTGTGAATTTATTTTGTGCTGGTTAATGTTGGGTTAAGGCTTGTAACCTCAGATGTTCATTTGTTGCTGTACAATTGTGTGTGTGTTTTTTTAACGTGTGTACATTGCCCAGACTCACCATTGCGAGATAGGCGGTCGTGTAAAAGGGTTTAAATAAAAATAAATTTAAAGGCATGGATTGAAAAGTTCAACTAATGGAGAGTCTTCTAAACTGCAGTGTCAATACATTTTAAAACAGGTTTCCAGTGGGGAAAAAAAAAGGATATAAGCTAGGAAAGATGGCTTACCAACAACAAAAAGAAGAACATGAGTGAATAGGAATGGCTGGGCTATGAAACAGACGGAGAAGAAAGAACTTTGCTTAATAGTGAGATGGGTGGATCAGAAGTTTAATAAACAATTTTACAAAGAAAGAGCCACAGATTCACCTAATGTTCTCAATTTTTAAAAGCTTTAAGAAATAGAATGACTATGGCAAAAGAAAGCAGAGAGTACCGATTGTAATAGGCGCCTGGGGTGCAATCCCAAAACAACTGGAGCAGCCCTTGAACACTTTTGGCGTTGACAAAATCCCCATCGGTCAATTGCAAAAGGCAGCTTTATAAAACAGCTTACATCCCACGATGATAACTTTAAAACCATCGAACAACAACATCTGCCTCTCCCAGGTCCTAGAGAAGGACTCAGTAAATAGATAAAACTGCCAAATCCAGTCTGAACATCTGACTGAACGTGCAACAAACTGTAATAATAATAATAGAGTATGGAACAACGGCATCTACTTTGGGAAGGACTCGATGGTTGATGAAAATGCCAGATCCAGTTTAAATATCTGGCTGACCAACCATAGTAATACCAACCAATAGTAATAAGCACTTTGGTGCAATGCCAAAAGATCTGGAGCACCATTTGATCATCATCAGCATTGACAAATTCAATATCAGTCAATTGCAAAAGGCAGCTTTACCCAAAACAGCTTACATCCTGTGACAAGACCTTTCACACCATCAGACAACATCATCTGCCTATCCCAAGTGCTTGGAAAGGATTTAATAGGTGGCTCAAATCCAGCCAAATCCAGTCTAAACAGCTGGTTGACTGAGCATCGAATCATAATAACTTCCGAAACACTGCTGTTTGAACAATTAACAGCCAGATCGTTATACAGACTTATAAAACCAAGAAAATCAGGTAATAAAAAAAAACACATCATGGATCTAATTAAATCCAACTCAAGGCAGACACGCAAAACCTGTTGGCCCATTAAGGAGATTGAGGAAACAAAAGTGAGTTTTAAAGAAGCGAGTTATTTTTTTTAAAAAAAAGCATCCTTCAACGAGACTCTAATTTCCCTTTCAATTACAAAGGACAACGGAAAAGCTTTGCAATTTTAATGCCGAGGTTCTAGAAATCTCCAGATTATTGAGTCAGTTCAATGCAGAATCAAATATTTATAGCGATGAAGGTTTGTATCATTGATTTTTATTTTGGGGGGGAGGAAGAAAAGGGAGCCCATTGGGGGATACATTACTTTGAACCCATTATGTTCAGTACATGCATTACTTTAAGGAAGAAGGACATTTCTGTGGCCAAAAAAAGAAAAGTCCACAGGTTCACCTAATGTTCTCATTCTTGAAGTTAAAAGCTTTAGAAAAGTTTCAGGTTAAGAAGTGTTTAAAAATGCATGACATTGTGGATTCACACAATTTTAGAGAAAGAGTCCAGTGATGTGGAAAGGAAGGGTCCTCTTAACGGATGCTGGTTTCAGACAGCCACAAAAAAAGTGGAAGCATCTCAGAGGGTTTGCTTGGTGTCCATTCATGGTGCACAAAAAACAACCCAGAGAGAGCGTTGGCTTACCTGAACGCCTTTTCTCAGCATGATGATGAAGAATCCACCAATGGGTTATTTCAGTCCTCCTGCCCAATCAGACTAAGTTGTCAAGTGGTCACACCCCTCTTTGTCTGGGACCTCCCAGTTTCATTGACAGCGTAGCCAATGACAACAGTTCGACATGATGACTCTCAAGCAAGTATCCAGAAAAAAACACAAGAAGAACAGACCCCCAACCCGGACCTAATTAACCACTAGATGGGAGGGCATGGATTCTTCATCATCATGCTGAGAAAAGGCGTTCAGGTAAGCCAACGCTCCTTCTCCAGCATGATGACTGAAGAATCCACCAATGGAATGTACCAAAGCTTCCCGAGTCCCTACGGGTGGGGTTCAGTTGGGGCCGGTCACCCTGATGGGGTGACTACTTGTTGTAAAATACGTCTACCAAAAGCGGCCTCAGCCGATGCAAATTTGTCCAGACGGTAATGTCTAATGAAGGGTGAAGGCGAAGACCATGTCGCCGCCCTGCAAATTTCTTCAATGGACGCTTGGGTTGCCCACGCCGCCGTTGTGGCAGCACTTATTATGTCCTCATGGGCGAAAGACTAAGATGAAACTGGGAGGTCCCAGACTAAGAAGGGCGTGACAACTTGACAACTTAGTCTGATTGGGCAGGAGGATTGAAATAACTCATTCTTTAGTCATCATGCTGGAGAAAGCCAACTCCTTCTGACTGCAACTTGGAAAAAAATCTGGAGGAGGAGGAGGAGGAGGAGTCTAAATTCGATCTGCAGTAAGCATTTCTAGCAAAAAGAACAAAGAAATTACTCTCTCAGCTCTGACCACCAGCCATTTAAATATTCATCTTCTGACATTAATCAGGTTTTGTGGCAATGACGTCTAAGCGATGTTGCAAATGACGGCTTCATATCTCCTTCTTCACTCTCCTTAACAACAAACAGATTTGTTGAGAGCCTTTCCTAAACAAATGGGTTGTCACACATGTTTGCAGAGTCACGGGATCCACCCAGCAAAATTATGCCAATGCTGCAAAATGAACTGTTTAACTATAGCTTTCCCAATTTTCTTCCCCAAAAAAAAGAGAAAAAAAAAGAGTGGACTTCAGTACCCAGCTTTCTGCTACAGGCCTAGGATGAATGAATGGAAACATCTGTTTCAGGATGTGGCCGATTGGCTAGTTCAAAAATTAGCAGTCATTACTTAGCGTGGAATTAAGTCCAATTTAAATACAGCCCCCAAAGAACCATATTGACTCTGAAAATATATAACATTCCAGAACAGTATGAAAAGATATCATATTCAGCTTTTCCACCTACCAACAAGTTTCCAGTGGAGATTCATCTGTAATTTTCCAGATGTAAACACAGCAACCCATTTTTTGCACAGTGAATTTTAAAAGTATCATGCATTTCACAACCGATGTCTCATGTGTTTGTTCAGAATATTTATAACTTCTCGGTCACTATCAGGGCCTTGAACTATTAAAGTTGTTTTATCCTAAATGGATGCCAAGTTTAATGCTTTAATATGCTGATAAGAGATACAGGGTTCAAACTTTATCCAAAACCAGCTAACCAGGTTGGGTTCATCTCACTGAACCACAATATAACTTTATGGTTTACAGCCTATTATAGTTTGTAAAATTTGAATTGTGGTTTAGCATGTTGAGTTAGTCCAGCCAATGAAGGCTTAGTCAAGACACCATGATTTATCATAATATTTGTATCAGCTTTCTTTCTTTTTTTTTGCAGTTTGCAGAAAAGTTACCTCACTATTTTTCATCATCTCGTCAAAATATGCAAGAGAGGTGCCGTTTACCTTGCATTGTCCCTTCCGTGAGACTTCAAGAAGTTCATGTTGCGGTATCTGGACAGGAACGCGACAAGCTGGTCATTTGTCCTGTGAAACAATTTGTGGAAAATGAATATTAAAAAAAAGGACCAACTTTTGCTCTCATCATCACATCAGAAGAAATGACGGCTTGGGTTTACATATATAGGGTAGTCCTTGGCGTACAACCATTGGTTTAGGAGCCATTCAAACTTACAACTGAAAAAAAGGGATTTCTAACTGTTGCTCGCAGTTATGACCGTCACAGCCTCTCAATGGGCCAGTTGGCATAAGTTGAGGACTGTCTGTATCCATTAGTCTAAGACAAGGGTCTTCAAACATGGCCCTTTTATGACTTGTGGACTTCAACTCCCAGAATTCCTCAGCCAATGGGTGAAAAGGTTGAAAAGCCCTGATCTAGGGGACCCTCACGGTCCCATGGAGATACTAAAACCACATTGATTTTAATATTTAACATTCAATCTGACCTTAAAAATCACACTTTCCTCCTTGACGGGGAAGAATTCCCATGAATGAATTGAGGGGGGGGGGGACTCATCCAGGATTTAGACCGAACAAGATTGGCATTTCATTTTCCTAATTTTTTCCTCTTAATGCCAACATTCATTTCGTATTTGAGACACATCAGGAGAGCTTTATATTCTCAGACATGAAAGGCCCCCATCCTGATCAGCCCCTTGCCTTTTTGCAAAGCTGAGACCCATGTGTGAAAGACCCATTAAGTGTGAAAGAACCCACAAGTGCGAAATTCTTCCTGTTCCTTCTGAATGCTTGGAAGAGGGGAGGAGGGGGGGGGTAAAGACTTTAAGGTTGTTTTAAACTCCACGCACAAAGCAAATTCTTGCAGCTCATTACCAGGAGCAGATTTACTGTCACATCCCTGAAATTTTTATGCCATATAAATCTGTTACCCTTTAAGATGTCAGAAGCCTCCCCGTCTCTTGCCATCTCTCCCCTTCTCCGTCTAGCTTCCACCCACTGTGTTTGTGCTACCTCCCTAGAATTTCAAATCAACTTTGCATTCGCTCCGTCTTCATCAACCTTGTGCAGAGAAAACAACGGAAAGTTATTCTTCCTGCTAAAAGGGAACTCATGTATATGCAGAGAGGTGTGTTGCCAGGAAGGAGATTGCAAAATACTTTGAGTGGTGATATATATATATATATATAAATATATAGGTCTTTGGTTATTCGGGTTTTCTCCTGCATAAAATTGGAAGTGTCTTGGCGATGTTTCAACGAAGTCCCATTCGTCATCTTCAGGCTGGTGTTTTCAGCTTCATGCTTCGAGGAGCAATGTGTGCTCCTCGAAGCACGAAGCTGAAAACACCAGCCTGAAGATGACGAATGGGACTTCGTCGAAACGTCGCCAAGACACTTCCAATTTTACGCAGGAGAAAACCCGAATAACCAAAGACCTACATACAAACACCCGCGAAAACCTCAGAAAACATATATATATATATATATATATATATATATATATATATATATATATATATATATATATATATATATATATATTCTCTGAGCTTGGTGGTTTTTTTGCAGACATTTCATGACTCAACTAGGTAACATCATCAGTGCTAGAAGGGAGTAGGGGCTTGTGAATAGGAGGAGGAGAAAGAGAAAGGGGGGGAGGAGGAGGAGGAGGAAAACTGTGGAGTCCTTGGTACTATCTGAGTTTGGTTGTTTTCTTGCAGACGTTTCATGACCCAACTAGGTAACATCATCAGTGCTAGAAGGGAGTGGGGGCTTGTGAATAGGAGGAGGAGAAAGAGAAAGGAGGAAGAGGAGGAGGGAGAGGAGGAGGAAGATTGTGAGGTCCTTGGCACTTTCAGAGCTTGGTTGTTTTCTTGCAGACATTTCAATACCTAACCAAGTAACATCATCAGTGCTAGAAGGGAGTCAGGTTTGCAGAGTGGAGGAAGGAGAAGGGGATGAAGAGGAAGTGAAGGAGGAGAACAGTGAAGTCTTTAATGGCCTCTGGGCTTGGTGGTTTTCTTGCAAGCATTCCATTACCCAACTAGGCACCAATGATGTTACTTAGTTGGGTAATGAAACTTCCTCCAATCTACATAACCCGAATCCAGGACTCGATGAAAACCAGGAGCCTGCAAAGAAGCTTGCATTCACAAACTCTCTGAAGTAAGAAATCATTGTATCCTTACTGAACAACCAGAAAGTTAACCATTGAGGAAATCCAGACCAACTAGTGGATTGGTCCATCAAACTAAGTAGTTTGAATGCTGTAGCTAAGGTAGATCTCCCCACCACCCTTGGCTTGCACTATTGTGACCTCAAAAGTCTCCCAAAGTCAGTCTGGCATTTTTAATATGGACACACACTCACACCCAGACACACTCACACAGACACAGAAAGAGAGGCTCGCAAAGCCCTTGTTTGCCGCATGGCTGGCTCACGGTCTTCAGGAGGGCAGAAGAGAAGTTTAAGGAATTTATTTAACGATCTTTCCACATGAAAAGATCTGAATGCACAACATCCTACGGTGCATTTCAAGACCAACACGGGCCTGCTAAGATAATCTTTTTTTTTTTTCCAGGTCTGAACTTGATATATATTTTTTTCTGCTTTAGTTTGTTCAGAGAAACCGTATGGATGGATGGATGGATGGATGGATGGATGGATTTCTTAGTGAGTGGAAGGGTGGTCTAGAGCAGTGTTTCTCAACCTTGGCAACTTTATGATGTGTGGACTTCAAAATTCTCCAGCTAGACTCTAGAGGATCTTCAAAGCACCTTCTATCTCCCAGACCGGCAGATATAGATACACAGAGATGGATGGATAGAGATAGAGACATGGATGGATGGATGAATGGATTTCTTAGTGAGTAGAAGGATGGTCTGGATGGCCTTCAAAGCCCCTTCCATCTCCTGGATTTCATCAGTGGAAAGAAACAGAACTCAATGATGCAACCCCCTTTCCAAGAATGAACCTAACCTAATATAATCAATCTTTTTTTTTTTTTTTACAGTCAATGACCCATATTTAGACTCCCCACCCCACCGTTTCTGAATTCTGGGAGTTGAGGTCCACATATCTTAAAGTAGCCAAGGTTAAGATACATCGCCTGAATCCTGGACTTCCGAGCAGAGCAAAAACCCAGAAAATAGGCCCTTTGCAAAGTTTACATATTCCTACCGAGAGCTTGATAAACAAGACATCCCAGAGGAACGAATTAAATGAGATCGGTGTTTTTCTAAACTTTTCATTTCTCAGATCGAGCCAATGGCAGCAGCTAAAAAAAAAAAAAAGTAAAAATAAAATAAAACTGGAAAGATTTGAGAACGACATTAAGCAACATGAAAAGAACTAACAAGGAAAAAAGAAAGAAAAAAAGAAAGAAGCAGCAAGCATAAAATCCACAGCAGAGCTGAGAATTTTCCAGGAAAGCAGAGAGAACAAAATGTGATTAAAACTATCTTCAATCTGGATGGGAGCCAAAAACCTGCTAGCAATACTTGATCATCAAACACTCTTTTCCTTTCCTTTTTTTTTTTTTTTTAAAAAAAGGATGTGCAATGCGCTAGGCAGCATAACGCAAATCCTATTTGGCAGATTTCTTCCCCTAATTAAAACAATTGGTTTTAGCCCAGACGGGAATTTCTTTTAAGTATGGGTTTAAGAAAGCAGAATCTCCTTCTGCTTTTCACTCCCAAATATCTTGACCCATAGAAACCCCTATCATTTTTTTATGAATCATAATATTCCTAATAATAATAATACTTAAGAATGAGGTAGTCACTTTTGCTTTAAATCTATACAAAGAACAGTTGCTGGAATTGGGTATGTCTAGTTTAATTAAAAGAAGGACGAGGGGGGACATGATAGCAGTGTTCCAGTATCTCAGGGGCTGCCCCAAAGAACAGGGAGTCAAGCTGTTCTCCAAAGGGCCTGAAGGCAGGACAAGAAGCAGCAGATGGAAACTAATCAAGGAGAGAAGCAACCTAGAACTAAGGAGAAACTTCCTGACAGTGAGAACAATTAACCAGTGGAACAACCTGCCTCCAGAAGCGGTGAATGCTCCAACACTGGAAGTTTTGAAGAAGAGACTGGACAGCCATTTGTCCGAAATGGTATAGGGTTTCCTGCCTGAGCTGGGGGTTGGACTAGATGACCTCCAAGGTCCCTTTCAACTTATTATTATTATTCTGTCCTGTTAAAATCTGCTTTCCCTGGAGGCTCTCCCAATACAAAGATAAAATTTCATTCAGTTCGACATAACTCCTGGGGCTGTGACAGGTGGGAAGCAGAGGTCCAAAAAGCAAAAAAATAGGTCCAAACGTGCTCAATCATTGTGGTTTCTGAAATGCAGTGCTGTAGATCTCCTCAAGGCTCCTAAAATTGGTTGCAAAAATCCCCCTCCTCCACTACAGGAAGTAGAAAGGGAAAATGAGGGGTCCCTGGTGGTCTCTCACCTTGGTTGTTTTCTTGCAGATGTTTCATTACCCAACTAGGTAACATCATCAGTGCCAGAAGGAAGTGGGTTTAGAGAGTGGAATGGGAAGGAGAGAGGGAGGAGGAGGAGGAGAATGACTGGGGGTCCTTGATGCTCTCTGAGCTTGATTGTTTTCTTGCAGATGTTTCATTACCCAACTAGATAGCATCATCAGTCCTAGCAATGAAGTGAAGGAACATCTGCAAGAAAACCACCAAGCTCAGAGAGCACCAAGGACCCCTCATTCCAACCCCGAGCTGCAAATATTCTCCTTTATTAGAAAGGGGAAAAAGTGCTAGGAGGACAAGAATGGGTGGTGAGATGGCTTGTCAAGAGAAAATGAAAAACAGATGGTGTGTATTTTGGGGGGGGGGAAAAACACAGCAAAGGTTCCAGCGCTTTTACAAAACTTATCTGAGTTTTAACAGCAAGCCATCCAGATTTATTTGGCCAATGCTATCCATTATATCAACAAATGCATCTTTCAACTGAGACCGGCTGAGATAGGATGAAAATTTGGCGGTGGACAATGGGGACTAGAACATAGTTAGGTCATGAAATGTCTGCAAGAAAACAGCCAAGCTCAGAGAGCACAAGGACCCCACATTCTTTTTCCTCCTCCTCCTCCTCCTCCTCCTCCTCCTCCTCCTCCTCCTCCTCCTCCTCCTCCTCCTCCTCTTCCTCCTCCTCCTCCTCCAACCTAACTCCCTTCTAGCATTGATGCTGTTACTTAGTTAGGTCATGAAAAGTCTGCAAGAAAACAACCAAGCTCAGAGAGCACCAAGGACTCCACAATCCTCCTCTTTCTTCTACTGCACCATCTTCTTTTCTATCTGTCCCAGCTTTGGTTGACATCCTTCCCCCCCTCCCCCAACTGCCCACTTATCTGAACATCTCATAAAATAATGCCTGTCTCCTACCTCTCATTTTTTAAAAAAATGTTTTGCAAGGAAGCACACTCCTTTGATGTAAATTATTAGCTGCACATGGCACTTTCCACCAATCAGCCAAGACAAGAGCGGGAGGGCAATCTTCGAGAGACAAGGAGTTATTACTGAACGTCAGTTCTCCTTCTCAACATCAACACGAGGATTCGGTGCTGTTGCAAAACCTGAATCCTAGAATAATTTTTTGAGACCACCCAGATTTGGAGGAGAGATTCATGGTGAAAAGAGAGGCAAAACGGGTGTGTGTGTCTCTGTGTGTGGTTGCCACGGATTATCAGTGAACTGAACGGAAGAAGGTTCTTGGACGAAAAGTAAAATGTTTTCAAAGAAAAAAAGAATCCCAAGAAAGTTCAGTTGCCTTTTGGAAAAAAAAGCACCTTTGGGACAACCATGATCTGGGTGATTGAGAATCTCCATAAAGATGTGATGACACATTTATAAACTGAGCTGTGCACCAGGAGATTAGGAGGACTCTTCTTCTGGGATGTCTCCAATCTAGGAGACTCATCTACCATAGGTTTATTTGGTGCCAATTTGTGTCATCTTTGCAAAGCCCCCCTGAAACTGCAGGACCTTTGGAAGTAGAAGCAGCTCAATTGCTGGGTTGGCCCAGGGGTAGGCAACCTCGGCTCTTTTATGACTCATGGATTTCAACTCCCAGAATTCCTGAGTCAGCATGGAATTCTGGGAGTTGAAGTCCATGAGTCATAAAAGAGCTGAGGTTGCCTACTGCTGGGTTAGCCCGACCAACTTTGGTTTAAGTCTTTCTGTCTTAATATTTTGATTCTTGCTTTGGACAGTATTGTTTTAATAGTGTGCTTTTTCAATGGGTGTTTAATGAAGATATGTTACCAGGAGCTATATGTTATTGGCCACAGATCAATGAAATAAATAAACAAACGGGCTTTATGATGTTCTTGGTTTCCCCCTTATTTTGGGCTGGATTGCTTTGCTTTATTTGCCTTTTGTTTTTCTCGCATGCCGACAAGATACAATTGTTTAGAATTAAAAAGAAAAACAAGGCCCGACATCAACATTGATGACGTCAGCTGAGTCATCTGCACAATCCATTCAATCACTCCTGACAGAACCATAGAAGATCCAGGATAAGAGGCCGTATGTCTCGGCAAATCTGTTGCTAGGAGACCAGAGAGGTTGCTAGGGAACTATTGCTGGGGTTATCAAAGGATGGGCATCCTAAACTCCAGGTTGCTTGTGGCCCTTGAAGTCCCCCCCCCTTTTTGCAACTTTTGGAATGTCTCCAATTCCTATTGGGGCAAGTCAGTGGTATAAAATCCAACATTCTGAGGCAGATGAACATATGAAAACCCCAGTTTAACTTCTAAAGAGATTTTATATCATTAAATAATGCCAATATCCCAAACTTTCTCAAATCCTTTGATCTTGATGCCAGTCATGTATTTCCCCTAGCTCTGCCTCTTTCGTGCCATTTACTGGAAATTTTCTCAAACTCTTGAATGAAAGCCATCTGGACATCCAAAGATTGCCCAATCTATAGCAAAAGTTGATGTATCCTTCAATGCATAGTCCCTAAAATACCAAGAGTATCCAAATTGGAACAATCAATATTCCCAGTTGAGTTCAAGATGATGGGTGGGTATAATCCAGCACCAACTCTCTTTTGGGGTTCAGGAAGAAGACCTTCTACCTGTGGGAATGGCAAGGAAGGTATCTGGGTCCACTGAAATTAGAAGGGCTACTGGTGAGCCATGACTCTTAGATTTCAAACCAGAGTTAGACAACTTGTGGACCTCTAGATATTCCTGAATTATATTCCTGAGCATTCCTTCTCAGTAGCCATGCTTTTGTAGGAGAAGGAGTGGCAGAACCTGGGGTGGAGTCAAAAGAGAGATCAGCCTGGAATCCCTATGTAGTGAGCTACATCCAATCTCTCTTGAATTCCATTGACTCTTATCTAACTCCAAGCAGCTGTTAAACTGCTTGGAGTTAGTTGCGTAGAGATGAGTAGCAATAGGACCTTCACATGTGATCTTTCACATCTGACATCTTTTTACAGGTATGGGGAATATAATTCAGTAGCACTGGAAGGACCAGAGATTGCCTACTATGTAAGTCAGAGAACTGTCTGATGTCCCAGTTTCTCTGGGTAGCCTCATTCCAAGACTTCCTGCATCTTTTTCAGATGGACATACTGGAGTTCAGCCAGCCTTGGTCCCACGGACTTGAAGATGTCCCCATTTTTTCGGCTTCTAAGAAGTATTTCTCAGAGCCATCAGCTGAACACCTCCTTCTGTTCTTCTTTTCTCCCCTCCTCGTTTAGAAGGCCAGGAGGAGCAGAAAGGAAGAAAGCAACTTTGTTGACCCACATCTTAAGGACACTGTGGGGTCCTGTTTAAACTCCTCTTGAATAAACAAGACTAGCGGTCTTCCTTGCCAGCAGATTTACTGTGCCAGACAGAAAGCAGCCTGTTCTCTGGAGCATAACTAATACGTCGATGCATCTTATGATGGTCCTAAGCAACACCCATGACTTGCATATTATGGGGTATGATCTTTCCTTGAAGATATACCATCAGCAAGCTGGCAATCAGATTCTATTAAGCCCAAATGGAAGATATACAAATGGAGCAAAACTCACTTAACAGCCCGCCTCGCTTAACCACAGAAAATTTGGACTCAACGATGGTTGTAAATCAAGGACTACTTGTATTCTTTGAAGGTGGTCAGCAGGCAATCGGTCCTGTACCTCAGTGGCCCCCAACCTTTTGGGCACCAGGGACCGGTTCCATGGAGAGAGGTTTTTCCATGGACCGGAGGGGGGGGTTTCATGTGCTGCCTGGATCCCACAGATGGGGCTTCACTTGTTTGCACAGACCACTTTCTGGAATGCCGTGGAAGTAGGGGGTTGGGGACCCCTGCTGTACCTGATAGGGTAGTCCGCAGCGCTGAGGTTAATGAAGAAGTCCCAGGGCCAGTCCTTCATCTCCAAGAGGTCTTGCATGCTCTGGAGGTAGGTGGAGAGAAGACTAGCGCCACCCCAGATGGTGGCCATGCGCCAGGAGGTGACTCTCACGTTCGGATACTGGCTTGCGAACTGGAGCACTTGCCGGTGTAAATAATTGGAGCGCTTTATGGGAACAGAAAACATAGAGTGAGAGGCGATGGTGTCTGTGTGAAGATGAGCCTAAGGGGCTGTTACTGGATCAGAGGTCCTCAACCTTTTGGGCACCAGGAACCGGTTCCGTAGAGAGAGGTTTTTCCCCGGACCGGAGGGTGTGTGGTTTTGTGTGCTGCCTGCATCCCATGGATGGGGCTTTGCTTGTTTGTGCGGACCAGTTGCTGGCATGCTGCGACACGGTACTGGTCCACAGACCGGGGGTTGGGGACTCCTGTACTAGATAACGGTGGTCCCCAGCTTTCCAAAGTGGAGATGGGACAGTGAGGCAGCCAGAATGGAAAAACTGAGCTGTGGAAGAGAATTGAGAGCTTAACGCTCTCTTTCCCCAGCTATCTTGGGAGAGAATCAAGAGAGGAATGCTAAACACGGTTGAGCCAGGCCATGGGTGCACGTGGGAATAAACGAGAAACAGGGTGCTGCAGCTATGACAGCATATACAGGTTGTCCTCGACGTACGACCACAGTTGAGCCCAACATTTCCGTTGTTAAGGGAGACGTTTGTTAAGTGAGCTTTGCCCCACTTTGCCACCTTTCCTGCCACAGTGGTCAAAGGAATCACTGCGATTGTTAAGTTGTTAACATTGCTTGTTAAGTGAATTTAGCTTCCTCACTGACTTGGCTTGTCAAAAGGGGATCACGTGACCCCGGGACTCTGCAACCGTCGTAAGTACATGCCAGTTGCCAAGGGGCTGAACTTTGATCACATGACCATGGAGATGCTGCAACGGTCGCTTTTGTCAGTGCCGTTGTAACGTCAAACGGTCATTAAGTTGTAAGTCAAGGACTACCTGTATTTAAGACTGCAAAACAAGAAGCAGCACAGGACAAGCAGATCACGCGCTGGGGGGGTGGGGTGGGGGCTATAGAATTGGTGATCGATTACCTTGTCAACGTGGATGTAATAAAAGTGATTCTGATGATATATAGCCTTAAACATGCGCATCAGCTGGCGAGAAGCTCTGCCATGGACAACCAGGACAAAGGCAATCTTGACCGGGTCAGCTGGCATGTATTCTATGAAGTCCTCGTCCCACTGGAGATTGTTATTGGCTTTTCCTGTTTGGAAAGAAAATATCATCAGGGCACTCAGCCTATCTTAAGGGAGGAGCTTAGGATATGTTTCAGCAGTTGGATAAGAGATGGAAGTTGGTAGAAGAAGTGAGGTCCACCTAAAGCCTCTCCAGGACTTTTGAAGACTCCCAACTCCTAGATCTTTTTAACCAGCATGGCTAAGAGGGTGAGGTCTCAGCTGGTGGAAGATGCTAGGGAACCAACCCCAAATAAATTATCTTCCAGTTATATGGATGTGGTGAGCTTGGTGGTTTTCTTGCAGACAGGTTATTACCAAACTAGGTAACACCATCAGTGCTAGAAGGAATGGGATATGCAGAGTGGAAAGGAGGAGGAGGAGGAGGAGGAGAGAGGATGAAGGAGGAGGACAATGACTATGGGGTCCTTGGTGCACTCTAAGCTTGGCTGTTTTTTTGCAGACCTTTTATTACCCAACTAGGTAACATCATCAGTGCTAGAAGGGAGTGAGGTTTGTGGAGAGGAGGAGGAGGAGGACTGTGGGGTCCTGGGTGCTCTCTGAGCTTGCTTGTTTTCTTGCAGACGTTTCATGAACCTAACTAGGTAACATATCAGTGCTAGAAGAGAGTGAGGTTTGCAAGGAGGAGGAGGAGGAAGAGGAGGATTGTGGAGTCATGGGGCTTGGATGTTTTCATACAAACACTTCATTACCTAAGTAGGTAACACCATCAGTGTTAGTAGGAAATGGGGCTTGCTGATGATGCTACCCAGCTGGTAATGAGACATCTGCAAGAAAACCAGCAAGCTCAGAGAGCACCAAGGACTCCACAGTTGGACCCTGAGCTACAAATATTCTCTTCTATGGGGTCTCAATTCCCAAAGGTCATTCTGACCAAGAATCCTGGAAGGTAACTCTAGGACACCGGAATGGGGAAGACCAAGCTAAGTTGACCTTCTCAGAAAAAAAATTAGTTTAGATTAGAATGACTGTACGATTTATCTGCAGAGGTTTCTTGACCTTGGATGCTTAAAAAAAACACTATAAATTGTTTAGAAGTGAAAGAATGGAGCACAGTCAACATGGAAAAGTAAAGTTCTGTGGAATTCTGCAGAGGCAAAGGACAGTTCTAGAAATAGCAAATAGAAAGCAAACAAGGCTTGGCTGAAAGGCTGGCTTTCTGAAAAGTTAAATTATAAGATATTTTATGTTAATGTCTGTCCGCTAAATATATATTCTTGCAACTTACTCCTGTTAAGATCATGGAGTTAATTTTTTTTAAAAAAAGCAAGCACTGACCTCAACCTTCTCTAACAAATCATTTATGACTCTGCATCTTTATAATTTAAGATTGTACATGGAAAATTCCTTTCCTTCCAGTAATTACTGGAGTTTCAGCAAGGGCATATGGTGAAGGGGAGTCAATGTGTACAGTAAGGAAAATGCCAGAGAATTTTAACTTCTGAAAAAGAAATACTGTATATATTACTGTAATGAATATTAAGTTCTATGATGGATAGACATTCAAGTGCTTCCATAAAAATTCATATCCCAGATTATCCCAATGCTTTTTATTTTATTTTTTTAAATAAACAAATCTAACAGTACCTCCATGAATATTTTTTTTATTTCTAGTATTAAGCAATTCTTTGCTGATTTACTGCAAATAAATCAAGTTTCAAATCTATCTACCTTCTGACTTAACAGGATGTAAAGCTTTATGTCGAATGTTGACTCATGAGCCAATGAACAGCGTGCTCATGATGGGAAGAAGTTAAAAATAGGAAGAACAGAATCAAAAAAATTGCTACTTCTCCTTCATAAATTATTCTTTTGGCTTACATTTTTTCCCCTAATGCTTTTATACCAAACTCCCCAGAGGTTTACTCATACAGAGAGAATAAAAATGAAGGCTATTTTTTTTTCCCCTGCTTTGTATAACATGTTCTGTTCTCAATCCCGGGGGAGCTGTGATTTCAAATGATGGGCAAAAGAATTGTCATTTTGTGTTTTTCTGACACCGAAGCAATATAGATAGGTGCTCCATTTTCAGCTACGCATATTTCTATCTTATATTCCTCTGGGTTAACTTTAGATATTTTTTTTTTTTTTCAAACATGATCCGGAAACCGAATTTCAACATTTGGACTACCGGCCAAGTTTTAGAAAAAGGCTTTCCACGGACAAATGAAAATCCTATTATTTTATTACAAGTAGTCTTTGAACTTACAAACACAACTGACCCCAAAATTTCTGTCGCCAAGGGAGACATTTGTTAAATGACTTTTGTCCCATTTTGCGACCTTTCTTGTCACATTTGTTAAGTGAATCGCAGCAGTTATTAAGTTAGTAACACGGCTGTAAAGTGTGTCTGGCTTCCCCACTTGACTTTGCTTGTCAGAGGTTCGCCAAAAAGGATCACGTGACCCCGGGACACTGCAACCGTCATAAGTACTAGTCAGTTGCCCAGCGTCTGAATTTTGATCCCATGACCACGGGGACGCCGCAACGGTTGTTAAGTGTGAAAAATGGCCATAACTCACTTTTTTCACTAAATGAATGGTTGTAAATTAAGAAGTACCTGCATAAGCAGACACGTGTAAAAGGATGAGAAGGCACTCAAGTAACCGTGAACACAACAGAAAGCGTGAAAACAATTGGGCAATTCCTCTTTTGCTAATGACTCATTTTTCCTGAAACTAAGCACAGTACAGACTTGAAGCAATCCATCACTGCTTACAGTTTCAATATTAGTTTATTATTCTTAGCAATCTATTCCGAGGGAAACACTAGAAAAATGACAGGACGTAATATTTTCACATTAAAACAGGAAGGAAAAAAAAAACAATAGTTGCCTATCGTTCTGTCCGATTAAATAACTCTGAAGCACTCATAAGAGGCGAAAGGGGAATTACAATATATGAGATATAGGTTTTGTTTATCTTAAGTTAGCAGCCTCCGTGCAACATCCCTATCCCATAAGATGCTGTGAAGTTTGAGAGTTTCAACTCCAGCAGATACTGTGTATTTCATCTTCGAAAATACCAACCAAGTCGAAAATCAACATTTAAAAAAAAAAAAACAATTCTGAAATCCAAGGACTTTTGCTGCAATGCTCTACTGGATGCTAATTGGTGCATATAAAAATCACGCAAACCTACTAAATTATATACATTCAGGTTTTTGTGCCGGGTGCGAGATTTCACCAAGAAGTTCAATGACCAAAATAAACACTATTCAAAAACATTGGACCAAGGAAAGAGAATAGGATGTTGTATTATGTCTGCCAGCAATACCAGCATTATATGAGTGAGCTCTTTGGCACTGCTCAATGGCTCCTTTTCCAAGTGAGTAATTTTGAGGGCAGTGAATTTTCAGATTAGTCTGGGAAAATCTTTCTTACAGAGGAGAATAGTCACATGATATAGCCTATAAATGCCTATTAAGGTCTCGGGTTGGGGAATGGCTTTGGAATTAAACATTTGTTTGGGATACAAGCCTATCTCAACAGGGCCTCCCATTTAAAGCCCACGTTTAATTATGAAAAGATCACTCAACAGAGGTTCTGCTCCAGTCTGTAGGGGACTGGAGGCTAAAACATATAAGGAACGGTTGCTGGAATTGGGTATGTCTAGTTTAATGAAGAGAAGGACGAGGGGGGACAGGATAGCAGTGTTCCAGTATCTGAGGGGCTGCCCCAAAGAAGAGGGAGTCAAGCTATTCTCCAAAGCATCTGAAGGCAGGACAAGAAGCAATGGGTGGAAACTAATCAGGGAGAGAAGCAACCTAGAACTAAGGAGAAATTTCCTGACAGCAAGAACAATTAATCAATGGAACAACTTGCATCCAGAAGTAGTGAATGCTCCAACACTGGAAGTTTTTAAGAAGAGATTGGTAGTGGTATAGGGCTGAGCAGGGGGTTGGACTAGATGACCTCCAAGGTCCCTTCCAACTCTGTTAATCTATTCTATTCTATTCTAGTCTAGTCTAGTCTATTCTAGTCTTCTGTCCTATTCCTTATTCTGTCCTATTCCTTATTCTGTCCTATTCCTTATTCTATTCTATTCTATTCTATTCTATTCTATTCTATTCTATTCTATTCTATTCTATTCTATTCTTCTGTCCTATTCCCTATTCCATCCCATTCCATTCTATTCTACTGTCCTATTCCCTATTCTATTCTATTCTATTCTATTCTATTCTATTCTATTCTATTCTATTCCATTCCATTCCATTCCAGCTGAGGGCAGCTATCGTGACCAGGATGGGCTCCTGTCCTACAAAATAAAATACATTTGCAGTCAAGAGGAAGGACAGATCTCCTCAAAATGCTTGTTGGGTTAATTTAAGCTTGATGCAATTGACTGAAATAAATCAATGCACTTATATGGAACAAGGGCTATCGACGTGACCTCCGTATTTTGTTTTCCCCTCCAGACTGGTGAAAGGATGGTGAGCTAACAATATCATTGCACAATGTTGGCGAAAATCAGCAGAAAGACAATGGCTTTTGTTAAGGTTTCATTTATTAGCATGTAGAAGCCTGAGAAAGCAGCCTGAATGTCATAAAAAAAAACTTGCCCCAGCCTGCAAATCTACAGGTGTGCCACGATTAACCCCATCCCAAACTCCACACTTCAATTTCTTGTCAGTTTTCTTGCCTGGTTGAAAGGGGTGTCTGTTCTTCTACTGATCCTCGGGGTGTTAAACAATTGCAGAGGAAGGAACCAAAATCATCCCTGGGGTCTTCAGGAAGCTGAAGATCACACGGGAACTGACTATAGGTAACAAAGGCAGGACATTGACATGTAACTGTAGTGCAAGCAAGTTACTTAACCGCCAGAACACCACGCGCCATCCAGGAGGAAATCACCGACTTTTTTTTTCTCATCTTCCGAAAAGAATATTTTAAGTCAATTCTTTTTTTCATCCAGGCCCAACCGAGTCAGTTTATTGAATGCCCTTGAGACCTCTCCATACTGGAAGGACGCCGAGGATTCTCGGAGCCTCCTAATCAGCCAGATAGTTA